TACCATTTTAGCATTTTCACAACTGCTCAATTCGTTCCATTCTCTGTAGAGTTGAATTCTCTGTAGGTTTTCTTTTTCTTAAAACACTTTCATCTCTCTTAATGAGAACTGGCCTTGTTTCAGATATTACTCTTGTAAGTTTTGTTTTAAGGATTTAGATTTCCAGTACCTGTACTTACTGCTTTTTCTCAGTTCTACCACAAGGCCTTCAATCTATCTTTTACCTGCCTGCTTGGCTGGGCCTGATCCTGTATTTCTTATGAAATGGAAAGTGGCTCCTTTCCACAGACTCAGGCTTTATCCCATTACCAGTTTAGCAAGGAGGGTGGCCTTGTTCACTAAACCCCACACCTCCTGGTCCTTTTCTTAAGCATATTCCTGAAAAATCTGCGAGTTGCTTTAACTCTCAGTACCCTTCCTTAAGGGAATCTAGCTGTGTCTGGGTACTGAGGGACGTGCATTTCTACCTCTCCACTCTGCAGCAGAGGCTTTTACATTTTGCAGTTTCATATTTGCATTCTTATATTCGGTCGATTTGAGGAACACCTCATTACAGGTTTTCCAGAGAAGCCAAACTGCAGCTGCTTCCTTTTCCATTGGAGTTGAGGGTTTATATATCCATAAGTAGTTAGCCAATTTGTCTTCTAGGTCTGAAATTGTATGGACATCAGCTAACACTTGATTGGACCAAGGGCTATGTCCGAAGTTTTGCAAGATTTGTTCAAAAGGGGCAACTAACATCTTTTACAAATGCCAATTTCTCAGTCTTCTCTCTGGGAGCCTTCTTAAAAGACTGCTTACGTTTAAACATTTTCTAGTATAACCAATCTCTTATTGGGACTAGAATAGCAATGCTTATACTTTTTACTCTTATCCACCAATACCTCTTAGTACACCCAACCTCCTATTGGGACTAGAATAGCAATACCAATACCTCTTTTTCCTGGAGGGAGAAATTTAATTCTCCTCCCTTCTTTCTAATGCCGGCATTCTACGACCGGGGGAGCGAGAAAGCTACTTCTCCTCCTCTCTTTACCCGGCCTTCTACCACCAGGGGTGTGCACGCCTTACTGATCAATCACTTTTTAATACTTTTCGAGGTTATGATCACTTTTCCATACTTCTCAACACCTTTCCATTACTCAATAAATGTTCGTGGTACCTTCCCCCTTTCGCAATTCTCCACCAAAATGTTGTACTTAAAAGAAGCACCCAGGCTCTTTTTCAGGGAGATAAGGCAACACGCCACATTTATTGACCATCCATAGATCAATCAATACTTATCAAATGCATATGACACCCTTGCTGTTGTTACCAACTTGTTGCTCCCCTTAACTTCACTGGCCAGGTGAGTTAGATGGGGGAGGGGGGGAGCCGGGCTTCTGCTGATCCAGATCGATGCTCCCATGTTGACAAGATGAAAACCCAGGGTCCCTCTGCAGGATGCCTCCTATTTATCCCTCTCATGCAGCCAATTAGTCGTCACCTCGCCTTTCCTAATGCTGCTTCAAGGAGAGTTCTTCCAAGGGCAGGCACTTGCTACTTGACTCCCAAGGCATCTGTCTGTCCAGTCTTCTTAAGGAGCTCACTTTGCAGGTATTGTCTTGGGTCTGGCTCCCAGACCTTCTCCACCCTGGCGACTGCTGCTGGAGGGGCTCCCCTTCCATTCTCCATTCACACCTTGTTCATTCCAACAGGGCAATCGAGGAGAGGGGGGAGCTCAAAAGACATTTTTTCTTACAAGATCTAGATCTCTTCATACAAAAATCTATTAACTTTCCTTTTCAGGTTGCTGTGTGAGAGAGCAGACTTAAAAGTAAAAACTCAAAACACTGTCCCCAGCCCTGGCTGCATCCCCGCTCCTGGTCCCAGGGAGGCACGTTAAATATTGGTTAACGGAATCATAGGGTTGTTAAAATGTGTTTAATTAAGTAATTGTGTAACCACTGAAAATTTCAGCGATTATGCAATTTACATGTGGGGGCAGGCAGCTCCACGGGAACCGGTATGCGTGGGGAGTTGGTTTGAAAGCTGGCTCCCCGCATGTGCAAGCTCCTGTCTGCCTCCTGCTGCTGCCTCCGATGCAGAGGCAGCAAGGGGGGCGGGGAGCGAGTAGTCACCAAGGGTATGTCTACACTGCCACCCTAGTTTGAAGTAGGGTGGGAGTGTAGACATACCCCTAGAGACTCAGGAAGAGATCTGACGTGAGTTGTCCAGGGCCGTGTTAATGATCATCCTGTCGCTTTACAACTTCTCCTTTCCGCAACTCCTGGCCCAGCACCGAAACCAGCTGTGCTGCAATCTTTGGACTTTACCATCATAAAAAACTTGCCGGGAGCGTCACAAGCCAGGGTGTGAGGAGTAGTAAAAGCAGCTCCTCAGGGGGCCCCCCCCCGCCGCTCCCGGGGAGACGTCCCTTTCGGCAGGGCTGACCGACCGGCCGAGTCTCGGGGTTCATTTCCTGAGCAGCTCCCTGCACCCGTTCCAGTTTGCTCCCTGCGGAGAAGCGGGGCCGGTGGGCGGAGGTCCCAGCTGGGACGTGCGGGGCGAGAGAAAGAGACGAGGAGACGAGCGCTGCCAGTGAGCAAACCCCCAGAAACGCCTGCCCGGCCCCATCAGGTGGGTGAGTGGGTTACTTCCTGGGGGTGGCTGTCTTGGTAGCACCGAAAAGCCCCAGGCAGGGTAAGGACCCAGGGGCTGCACCCAGCCCCCCCGGTGGGCGGAGGTCCCAGCTGGGACGTGCGGGGCGAGAGAAAGAGACGAGGAGACGAGCGCTGCCAGTGAGCAAACCCCCAGAAACGCCTGCCCGGCCCCATCAGGTGGGTGAGTGGGTTACTTCCTGGGGGTGGCTGTCTTGGTAGCACCGAAAAGCCCCAGGCAGGGTAAGGACCCAGGGGCTGCACCCAGCCCCCCGCCCCCCCCGACTCCCTCTACAGTGTCTGGACCCTGGCACTCCCCGATCATCCCTTTTATTTTCTCTTCTCTCAGCCTGCCCGTTTTCTCCCACTTGTCCCCCCCTCCAACTCCGCCGAGGGGAGTCGTTTGCACCAGGGCGGATGTTCAAGCGGAGACGCTCTCGGGGGGAACACGCGAAGGTGAGGCTGGAGTCATCGCTGCTGTGATGTTGTCGTGGGCGAGGTCGTTCGGAGACCGGCATGGGGAAATATTCTAGGGGGGCTGTTTTCCTTGGCTGGATTGGATTTGGAATTGCCTCGCAGGGCGGGTGACAGCCGTTTTTAACAGTAGATCTTGCAGCAAAAACACTTCCCCTGGGTGGGTCGGGGAACACGCGAAGGTGAGGCTGGAGTCATCGCTGCTGTGATGTTGTCGTGGGCGAGGTCGTTCGGAGACCGGCATGGGGAAATATTCTAGGGGGGCTGTTTTCCTTGGCTGGATTGGATTTGGAATTGCCTCGCAGGGCGGGTGACAGCCGTTTTTAACAGTAGATCTTGCAGCAAAAACACTTCCCCTGGGTGGGTCCACTTGGA